AGCTTATTTACAAATTATACAAAAATATAATTTAATAAGTAATATTGATTATTCTAATTTCTAAAATGCTGCCCAAATTAAAACTACCATTTTTAACTACATTTTTTTCTTCAAATATAAAAACTAAGGATAATCCTATAAAATCTCCCTAATATTCTTTACAAGTTAGAAATGTTTTAAATGTTGATTTGACTCACATGCTTTTTTTCACGAAATGGAAAATGCAGGTATATTTTCCACTTGTAAGCACAATGTCTTTAAACATTACAGCTTCGGACTTCCATGAAGACTCGCATATTATCTGTCGTTTTGTTAATTATTTATTTATTTTTGGTTGAGTGAATTTATGTGAGAAAAGAGAAAGTAGATGGTTGATTCTATTTTTCATTTTTGCATCTCATTCTAAAACCTGATCATTTTTAAGTTGCTTTTTTAACTGAGCGAGAGTGAGGAGTCATCAAAGATTGACATCCTATTCGCCATCCCTCTGTATCCAACTACTTCTGATGCTTTCTGGGAAGCTTTTCAGGCAATAGGCCACTTCTTTCTAATTTAGTCTTTTCTGCTCACAAATATTATTAAGTCTTTCTTATGCTATCCACATTTTTCTTTAATCCCGCTAGTGCTATCCTTCTCTGTGTTTTTCCCAACACTGTCAGATAAATGTTAAATGTCTGTGAATTTCTGTTCCAGAAATGTGACAAAATTATTCATCAGTCCTCTTGCTGAAAATGACTAAAATTGCAAAAAAAAAAAAAAATTTAACATTTAAAAAGTATTGAAAAGTTGATAAGAAAATAAGGAATTACTGGCTAAATATCATCAAACCACCAAAGATAAACAGAAAATCTTAAATATCAGTCAGAATAAAAGATACACTACCTTTTAAAAAAATAATTAGACTGATACTTGACTTCACAAAAACAACCATGGAATTCCAAAGATAATAAAGTGATACTTTCAAGATGCTGAAGGAAAATAATCACAGTTTAGGATTCCATATCAGTGAAGAGATCTTGCAAGAATAACTAAAGATATTTTTATATAGACAAAAACTGAGAAAGTTACTTCTCACTGAAGAATATTACACAGGATTTACTTCAAGCCAAAGAAAGACAATCTCAGATATGATGTCTGAAATACAAAAAGAAATAAAGAATGAAGAAAGTTTTAAATATTCAGTAAATCTAAGCAAATAATGATTATATAAAACAATATTAATACTAACTTATGGGGTCAAAAATAATAAAAATGTAGGCAATAATATAAGTTAGGAGAGTGCATTAGTCCATTTTCACACTGCTGATAAAGACATACCTGAGACTGGGTAATTTATAAAGAAAAAGAGGTTTAATTGACTCACAGTTCCACGTGGCTGGGGAGGCCTCACAATCACGGTGGAAGGTAAAAGGCACGTCTTACATGGCAGCAGACAAGAGAGAATGAGAGCCAAGTGAAAGGGGAAGCCCCTTATAAAACCATCAGATCTCATGAGACTTACTACCATGAGAACAGTTATAGGGGGAACTCCCTCCATGATTCAATTATCTTCCACTAGGTCCCTCCCAGAGACATGGGAATTATGGGAGCTACAATTCAAGATAAGATTTGGGTGGGGACACAGCCAAACCATATCAGGGGAGTTAAAGTGTTCTAAGATCCTTGTATTTACCAGGAGGAGGACAGAAATGTTAATTAGATTTAGAACATGATAAGATAAGTATACATTTTATATTTTTAGAATAACTACTAAAAGAAAAAAAAAGAAGGTATAACTTCCACACTAGGCCAAAAAATAATAAAACTTGACTAATGCAAATGAAGAAAGAATATAAAGAAGAGATGGGATTGTATGAAAGCAGATGTTAAATGGACCCAAATATATCAGCAGTTACATTAACAATAAATGAACTAAATGCTGCAAAGAAAATGCAAACATTATCAACTGGATTTTTTTTAAAAACTAAACAAAGTAAGACATATTTAAAACATGAAATACTAATAAGTATGGCCATCCAATGGCTAACCAAAGAAAACATGCAGCTGGGAAAAAGGAACTTTAAAACAGAAAGACATTGCTAGAGATAAAGTATAATGGTAAAGACCTACATTGCCAGCAAGATATATTATTTTAAGTTTCTATTCGCCTAATAAAATTGTCTCAAAAATAAAACAGCAAAATCAAACAGAATTACAAGAAGAAATTATTCAAAAATTTATTAAGAACTTTGAAGATCTGTATATCACAACCAGCTTAACTTAATACACCTATATGGAATACTACAACCAAAACCTTCAGAAAGTATGTAACATTTATAGAAATTGGACATGCATAGTGGAGAGTAAAGCAATTCTCAACAAATACCAAAGATTAGTGTCGTGTGAAATATGTTATCTGAGTACAATACAATTCAGCTAGAAATAAAGACAAATTGAAAATTTCTAAATGAATAAAAAATTTAAATTACTCTTTCACTAGCATACAGAGCTACAAAACTGTAATGAAAAGTAGAAAGTAATTTGAATTTAAGGATAATAAAAATTCCACATTTCAAAACCTGTAGAATGAAGATAAAGCCATTTTAAGAGAAAACATATAGCCTTAAAAGTGTACTTTAAAAAAAAAAAAGGCTAAATATAATACTAAATATAACAAGCATCTATCCTCTGAGATTTTAAAAACAACAACAAAATAACTCCAAAGAAAGTAAAGAAAGGACAAGATAATAAGACCTGAAATTAATACAAGAAAAAATAACCAACCTTGCAATAGAGTGAGATCCCATCGCTACAAAAAAAAATTTTTTTTAACTATCTAAGCATGGTGATGCTTACCTGTAGTGTCAGCTACTGGGAGGCTGAGGTATGAGGATCGCTTGAGCCAAGGAGATTGAGGCTGTGATGAGCCATGATGGCACCACTGCACTCCAGCCTGGGCGACAGAATGAGACCCTGTCTCCAAAAAAAGAAATGTAGACTATGGAGAATAAATGAATCAAAAATTACTTCTTTGAAAATGTAAATCAAATTGACAAATGCCTGGTATCCTTAATTTTAAAAGTGGGGTAGAAGCCCATGAAACAATGACAAAAATGAAAAAAAAAGTAAACATCATTATAGATATTACAGACAAAAGTATTATTAATAATATAACATTATTAAAATGTTATGTTGATACGTAAATATAAGATTTAGATAAAACAGGCAATTTTGAGTACAAATATAACTTACTAAACTAACTCAAGAAGAAATGGAAACCACAAATAGTCTATAGACATTAATTTGATTCTGTGATCAAAAACCTTCCAATAGAAAATTTCTACTCCCAGATAGCTTTGCAGGAGAATTCTGCCAAATATTTGATAAATAGGTAATTCCAATAGTATACAAATTATCCCAGCAAGTAGAAAAAGAGAAATATCCTGAATTAACTTGACAGGGGAACAAAGGAAATATAGCAAGTCTCATTCATGATCAGGGGAATAGATGCCCAATCAAAATATCAGAAAGTCAGGTTCCATGACATATGAAAAAGATAATATTGTTATAAAACTGAGTTTATCTCAGGAATTCAAGCCTGGTTTAACTTTAGAAAATCAAAGATTACAATCAATCAAATTAACAAATAAAATTAAAGCACTAGAAAACCACAAATAGACAAGAACTTCCTTAACTTAAACAGTACCCACGGAAACCTATAGCAAGCATAATACATGGTGGCGTAATTTTAAGGATTTTTGCATTACTCTGTTCAACATTTCCTGAAGGTCCTAGCCCATGCAGTAAAGCAAAAATGAGAAACAAACAGTAAAACATTTAGAAAGGAAGAAACCAAAACTCTGAGCATTTCCAGTTTATTTGATTGTATACATAGAAAATCAAAAATAATCTGCAGATAAATTATCCATTATTAGACTGAATAAATAAATTTAGGATGTTTGCTGAATATAAATCAGAAAATTTACATAAATAATATTTTTTCATATGAGTCAAAAACAAAAAGGGAAAATGTTAAAAAAGGAAACCATTTATAATGTTATCAATAAATACGAAATTTCTAGGAGTAAATCTAAAACAAGCATGCAAGACCTTTCCAGAGAGAATTATAAATGGCTTAGACGGGAGATCCTCTTCTGTGACTATACAGATCGTTGCTCCTTCATCCCTAATGGTCTCTTCCCCAATCCCTCCACACAAGGCAGGTATCCTGCCTTTATGTCTCTGATATTTTACTACCTTAGTTATTCTCTGGCATTCTCATTCACACAGCTAAATTATATTGAATTCTAATGATGTACCAGCGACTATCAGGCAATGAGATGCAAAGATAATTTTGCTGACTACATCTTATTCACTTCTTGCTTCTATATACATTGATATTATTGATTTTTTTCATAATTATAATGACTTTCTAGCTTTTGAGATTTGAAGTAATATCCTATTGATATGCATGATTTGCATTGCAAAAAAAGAACTAAAGCATGCCTTACAGGTAAGCATTGTGTAGAGACTTAGTTAAAGTAAACAAGTCATACAAAAAAGCTGAAATCAATATTCATAAACTATGTGGCCCTACAATTCTCTCTATTAGAATATTAAGCCTGAGAAACACGAAGTGTGTTTCTTACCCAGATATTCATAAAACAAATTGGAAGGCCCTGAAAGTTTTATCCAAATGATGTAAATTACCTTTTTAATGCATCAATTATATAAAGCTCAATCACAGACACAAATCCAGCATATTACCCAAGACAGATGTTATCTGGAAATATACCTGCAAACTTTCAACTCTTTCCTGAGTTTTAACAAAATTATTACATCCTCACCATCTAGCTACTTGTGTTCTTTGTAAAACAGCCTGCTGAGATCTGCATCTTTCCTCTTAAATCACACTAAAACTTCTGTTTCTTTTTTTCCCCCTACCCTCTCCTCTCTTGCTTCCTGTCCAAATCTGCTGGTGTTTGTAACTCCCTTATTGTGGTTGTGGTCCTCTCCGTCAGCCATGTGGGTAGTTGAACAAAACTCACCTACCTGCCTCTCTGCTGCCTTGCCCACCAGGAGAGACTCCCAGGAATCCAGGTTGGTTGAGGGGTGTGGGGTCCAGGGGATTATAAAGCCAACTCATGATCAGGGCCTCCTCTTCCATTCCAGCATCCCATGAGCCCTCTGAGATCTCAGGTCTCAGGTTTTGACCCTGCCCTTGCAAGCCTCCTTGTTTAGGGTACTTCAGCCAGACAGCAAGCTATGCTGCACACCTTACCTCTTCTTTACCATCAAGTGTTACCTATTCTGTGCCCGATTCCCTATCCTGCTACCTTCTTCTAGTTTAGATGACTGTAAGGAATTAGGGATTTCAGCACAAGACTAGACAGGTGGCAGACAATTTTAGTTAGGCAGAGCATTCCTCATTCCTCGAATGTCAAAAGGAGGATGGTTTTCTACTTGCATGGAAACCCAGGACTGGCAGTGTGTTTGGGGATACCCCTCAATGATCCAAGTATCCCTCTTTTCTCAACAAGAATAACCATACAACCTGGTGCAGCCAGCGAGGCAGCTTCTTGTGCTAAGCCTCACTCGTGTCTGCATTGCTCTTCTCTGGGCTCCAGTATCAACGAAACCAGAGCACCCCAAAGAAAAACAGTTCTAAAGACAGTTAGCACGGGACAAAAGCCTGTTGTATTCTGTGAGGACAACAGGGCATCCAGGAAAGAGCACAGGCTGGAGTCAGTTTTGTCTAGGTTTGGATTCCAAATTAAGCCTCTTGATTAACTGTGCAACTGAGTAAATGCCAAGCTTGAGTCTCAGTCTCCTTAGAAATATAATAGGGGAATAGCACCTTCCCTCCTGTGATGCTGTGAGGCTTTAAAGTGGCAAATATAAAAATCCTGTCACAATGACTAGGGCAAAATAGGTGCTTTAAAAAGTATGTTTATTACCATTGACTGAAGTTATCTTGCTTCGGTAACAACAAATCTTGTAAAGTGAATCGTATGGTTCCCATTTAACAGATGAGGCACCTGAAGCTCAGGGAGATTAAGGAATTCACCCAAGGTCAAACTCATAAAAGTGACAGTTGGGGCCCAAGTGCCAGTATTCTGACTTCTGCATAGTATCTTCACCACATCTTATGGCATAAGAAATTTTCAAACTTTGACATATTTATATCAACTGCCAGTCTTCTTAGGTGGCACATATATTTAATGTGTAGATACTGTTAGACATTGCCTCATTAATTCTACTGGTTTTAAATATTGCAATTATAAACCACAGGCATCTTGTGTTGATTTTTAAAAAACAGAAAATACGAGATTTCCACTCATGGTTTATATGTATGATTTCTACTTATCTGATAGATTCGCTAACACTGGTATCTCAGGACTATAGACTCTCACAGACAAAAGCATGGAGTTATAATTAAAAGATCATCTTTATTAACTTACTTAAAGATAAATCACGTGATTTTTTAAGTGGTACCATTATTGACCCTACCACATTTATGGAGCACTGACGAATTGTCAGGCATTGCACTAAGTATATTGTGGAGTTCAATAGTGAATCAGATATTCTTTTCATCTCAAGAACTAAATAACAAATTTAGAAATAAAATATGTCAATTTCAACTCCACTTAAATTGGAAAATCCCCCTTCCTTCAATCTAAAATGCGAATGTGCCTTAAGATGGAGATTGGTACATATTAACATTGAGGGGTGAAGAGATATTTACCGAATTTTATTTTTATAGATATTGTCTCCAACAGGAAGAAAAAATCCAATTTTTTGTCAGATGTGTAAGTAGCTTGCTGGCACTATTCACAATAGCAAAGACATGGAATCAACCTAAATGCCCATCAAAGATTGGTTAAAGAAAATGTGGTACATATACACCATTGAATATGATGCAGTCATTAACAAAGAACAAGGTCGTGTCTTTTGCGGGAACACGGGTGGAACTGGAGGCTATTATCCTTAGCAAACTAATACAGGAACAGAAAACAAAATACTGCATGTTCTCACTTATCAAAGATGAGAACACATGGACACAAAGACGGAAACAACAGCCAATGGTGTTAATTTGAGGGTGGAGGAGGAAGAGGAGCAGAAAAAATAACTATTGGGTACTGAGCTTAATTCCTGGATGATGAAATAATCTGTGCACAAACTCCCACGACGACACAAGTTTACCTACGTAACAACCTTCACATGTACCCCCAAACCTAAAATAAATGTTAAAATAATATTCATAAGTAGCTTGCTAGAGGATTTTTAGGACAGTGAAAATACTCTCACTCTGTTTAATGCTATAGTGACAGATAAATGTGTCACTTTTCCAAATCTATAGAATATACAAGGCCAAAAGTGAGCACTAATGTGAACCGTGGGCATTGGGTGATTACCATGTGTCAATAGGGATTCATTCATTGTAACAAATGTATCACTATGGTTGTGGATATTGACAACGGGGAAGGTTGTGTGTGCAGGAGCAGGGAGTACGTGGGAACTCTCTCTGGACCTTCCTGTTAAATTTGCTGTGAACCTAAAACTGCTCTAAACATAATTTTGAAAAAAAAAAGAAAACTGAACAATTTCGCTAATGCAAAAGGCAAAAACAAAAGCAAAAAAATCTGAGGGAAGAAAACCTAAGATGAAAAAATATGTCTGGGATGTTTGTTATCCATGTAACAAACATGTATTTGAATATTCTCCAGGATCATGTAATTGAATATTCTCCAGGCCAATGATTGTAATGAAAAAGACTAGGCTCACAAGCCACACTTTAGAGGGGTCCCAAGTTCGCCAGTTACTGCCCAATGTAGCCCTATTTACCACATTTTCCAGAGAAGACAGAAACTCAGTCTTTTTTAGGTACATTCTTTCGGTTTTCAATTGTTGGCAGCTAATTTAAAATATTTAATACTGTGCAGGCCAACATGGCTCCCCTTTCTCACTTCTGTTTATACTCTCATTGCTAAATGTTTTTGATATAAAACTACCTCTATTTTAAGTTTACTGTATTTTTATTTATAATTTTTTAATATCTAACAAGCTGTACTTTTTAAAGTCCTAAAAGAAAAATGCATTCATGATGGGAATTAAGTTACCTAAATTAAGTGGAAATAATCTACAATTGTAATAATAGAAACTCAAGGTACATTCTGAAGAACCATTCATTGAATCCTAATATGCCTGCCAAAATGAGAGCCAAAATCGCCTGGGCAAGATCATCCTCCCAGCCCTTTCTTAAGGAATATTCTTTAATCCCATTTCAACATACTGAGTATTCGGTTCTTCTTTAAAAATTTTTCTACAGGGTTTGGATATTTTTTAAAGACTCCCAATAATATATACTAAACGTATAGAAACTATAGAAAGGGACAATAAATCCAATAAAGGGCTCAATAAATCCTGGAGTCCACTGAGGTAGTTAAAGAAAAATGAAGCCAGTCGCATTGGCCATTCTTACACATCAGGAGATTAGAAGACACTGCTTTTAAGAGCATTCCTTTTTGTGGTGTGATGATGTTGTTTTAAACTGTGTCAGAAACTCTATCCAGCCGACTCCAAGAGGTTTGTCTCTTGGTTTAAGTCTCATTATCCAGAATCAGTGAAGTGCTCCTTAGGATTGTCCAAGTTTGATTTCATTTCACCACCTATCTGCATATACAACTAGAAATCATTTGACAGCCTCATCCCCCAGAGATATGGGGGAGGCAAGATATAGACTCATAAACAATTATCTGTGATAAAGGATCCTTCTCAAGCAGGACTAAAGCTTTTGCCATGGGATGTTATCTTTGGCTTTAAGGCAGTATGTGCTGGCTTTACTGGTTTTGTCACTTTTTCCAATCACATCAGTCCCCTTTACTGTGGCAGCTAAATTATCTGTTATCTTTGGTGGGGCCCATGACAATTCATCATCAAAGCCATAACCTATGTATTAAGATTGAAAATTTCATTTGATTTGAAAGGAAAACATTATTTAATAATCAGAAAATTTCCTCGGAACTCTTAAGTTTAATAGAATTTCACATTTCCTGTTTCTTCATTTCACATGCCTATTTGTTTATAGGCACCAGATTTTGAAATATCTTTATATCACCTATTTTAAAATAAAGAACCTTTTCTAGTCACAAAATAATATATATTAAAAATATAAAAAATGTAGAAAGGGGTAAGAAAAAATATCACAAATAGCTACATTATCCAAAGACAGCTGCCATTAACATTTTCATGTTTCTATGTATATGAAACTATGTATGTATTTGTTTCAATGAACTCATTGATTCAACAAACAATTCCTGAGCGTCTACGATATGCCAGGCATTATTCTTGGACTGGAACTACATCGTGGAAAACCGAAAAAGATAAATTTATTCATGAAATTTATAATCTGTAGGACACGGGTGGGAGCAGACAAGGAGAAACACATAAAATAAATAATAAACACAGTAAACAAATACATTCTATAGAACACTGGAACATCATACTGATACTGAGAAAAATAGATCAGGGTAGGAGAGACCGGGCAAACAGAGATAAAGAGGACTGTGTGGCAATTCTAGTTCAGGAAGTCAGAGGAAGTCTCACTGAGAAGGTGACAGTTGAGAAAGACCTGAAAGAAATAATGAAGTGAGATGTGCAGATCCCAAGGCACAGAGCATTTCCAGCGGAGGCAACAGTTAGGGAAGGCCCTAAGACAGCAGCTGTGCCTGGCCTGTATTAGGAACAGCGAAAAGGCCAGTGTGGCCAGAGTGATTTGATAGAGGGAGAAGGCAAAAAGACAAGGTCACAGAGGTAACAGAGGGTTCATGCATGCGGGACTTGGTAGTCCATGGCAAGGACTTACAATTTTACTTGAAGTAAAATGCAGACTTCTGCAAGTTTTTAAGAACAGAAATGACCTAAATGGCTGGGCATGGTGGCTTACGCCTGTAATCCCAGCACTTTGTGAGGCTGAGTTGGGCAGATCACCTGAGGTCAGGAGTTCGAGATTAGCCTGGCCAACATGGTGAAATCCCCGTCTCCACAAAAAAAAAAAAAAAAAAAAAAAATTAGCCAGTCGTGGTGGTGGGTGCCTGTAA